AGTAGAGACAGGGTTTTGCCATGTTGGTTGGGCTGGTCTTGAACTCCTGACCTCATGATCTGCTCCCCCCACCCCCTTGCCTCCCAAAGCACTGGGATTACAGGCATGAGCCACCGCACCTGGCCTATTACAGAGCTTTTTATCTTGACAGATCTCTTGTGTGTGTGTGTGTGTGTGTGTGTGTGTATTTGTGTTGTTGCTGTTTTTGAGACGGACTCTTGCTCTGTCACCCAGGCTGGAGTGCAGTTGCGCGATCTTGGCTCACTGCAACCTCCATCTCCCGGGTTCAAACAATTCTCTTGCCTCAGCTCATGAGTAGCTGAGATTACAGGTACCTACCACCATGCCCAGCTAAGTTTTGTATTTTTAGTAGAGGTGAGGTTTCTCCATGTTGGCCAGGCTGGTTTTGAACCCCTGACCTCAAGTGATCCCCCATCTCAGCCTCCCAAAGTGCTGGGATTACAAGCGTGAGCCACCACACCCAGCCTACTGTTTATATTTCTAAAGAGAAATCATGGCATATGGACAAACCACCGACTGGAACTTCTTAGATGACTCCAGCTCACAAGGTCACACCACAGTGGGAAGCAAGCCTTCAATTCTCTATCACTTACAAAAGGCCAGATAAGGCTTAAGTTCCAGCACCAGCCAACCCCTGTCATCTCCAGGGAATCTATATTATAAAATGTCTAGCCTCAACAAAGGTCCTGAGTGTTGTTTCAAATTTCACTGCCAATTTTCACTAAATATTTCTGATACAAGAAAAACAGGGCTGGGCGCGGTGGCTCAAGCCTGTAATCCCAGCACTTTGGGAGGCCGAGAGGGGCGGATCACAAGGTCAGGAGATCGAGACCATCCTGGCGAACGCCGTGAAACCCCGTCTCTACTAAAAAATACAAAAAACTAGCCGGGCGAGGTGGCGGGCGCCTGTAGTCCCAGCTACTCGGGAGGCTGAGGCAGGAGAATGGCGTAAACCTGGGAGGCGGAGCTTGCAGTGAGCTGCTGAGATCCGGCCACTGCACTCCAGTCCGGGCTACAGAGGGAGACTCCGTCTCAAAAAAAAAAAAAAAAAAAGAAAAACAGGCCAAGCCTGGTGGCTCACATTTATAATCCCAGCACTTTGGGAGGGTGAGGCAAGAGGATCACTTGAGACCAGGAGTTCAAAACCAGCCTGGGCAACATAGTGAGACCTTGTCTCTACAAAAAAAATAAAAATAGGCCGGGCGCGGTGGCTCAAGCCTGTAATCCCAGCACTTTGGGAGGCCGAGACGGGCGGATCACGAGGTCAGGAGATCGAGACCATCCTGGCTAACACAATGAAACCCCGTCTCTACTAAAAAATACAAAAAACTAGCCGGGCGAAGTGGCGGGCGCCTGTAGTCCCAGCTACTCGGGAGGCTGAGGCAGGAGAATGGCGTGAACCCGGGAGGCGGAGCTTGCAGTGAGCTGAGATCCGGCCACTGCACTCCAGCATGGGCAAGAGAGCCAGACTCCCCCTCAAAAAAAAAAAAAATTAAAAAAAAAAAATTAAATAAAATAAAAAATAAAAATAAAAATAAAAATAAAAATTTGTAGTTAATAATTTTTCTATTTTGTTGAAAATAAATCTGCCTCATGATAAAAGAGTTACATAATTCCAAGAAAAAAAAAACACAGAAAACCTAAAAGTTGGTTGTTATCCTTACACTGAAAGGCAGCAATACAGAAAATTCTATCAATGTATCTCATCAAAAACATTAAACAGCCAGGCGGGATGGGGGGCTCATGCCTGTAATCCCAGCACTTTGAGAGGCAGAGGCAGGTGAATCACCTGAGGTCAGGAGTTCAAGACCAGCCTGACCAACATGGAGAAACCTTGTCTCTACTAAAAATACAAAAATTAGCCAGGCATGGTGTTGCACGCCTGTAATCCCAGCTACTCAGGAGGCTGAGGCAGGAGAATCGCTTGAACACAGGAGGCAAGTGAGCCAAGATCGCGCCATTGCACTTCAGCCTGGGTGACAAGAGCGAAACTCCATTTGAAAAAAAAAAAAAAAAACACATTATTACACACAACCTGAAGCCAAAAAAGAGAAAAAAGCAAGAGACTCCCTCTTAGTAACAAATGAGTTAAGCAGTGATAGAAGTTGCATTAACATTACAGGAGGGCAGGAGAAACACTTGGTGACTCACACATTCCCCTTTGATGTCAATTTTACAATTTACGGCCAAGTGCAGTGGCTCGGGCCTGTAAGCCCAGCAGTTTTGGAGGCTGAGGCAGGCAGATCACCTGAGCTCACTTCGACACCAGCCTGGGCAACGTGGCAAAACCTCATCTCTACAAAAAATACATGAAATTAGCCAGGCGGTGCCACGCACCTGTGGTCCCAGCTACTAGAGATACTGAGGTGGGAGGATCACTTAATCCAGGGAAGCAGAAGTTGCAGTGAGTTGAGATCGCCCACCACATCCCAGCCTGGGCGACAGAGTGAGACCCTGTCTCAAAAAAATAAATAAATAAAAATAAAATTAAATGAAAATAAAATAAAATAAAATTTAAAAAGCTAGTTTCTTTCGGAAGAAAAAGGAGGGAGGCTGGGCACAGTGGCTCACGCCTGTAATCCCAGCACTTTGGGAGGCCTAAGTGGGCAGATCACGAGGTCAAGAAATTGAGACCATCCTGGCCAACATGGTGAAGCCCCGTCTCTACTAAAAATAGAAAAATTAGCTGGGTGTGGTGGCGCGTGCCTGTAGTCCCAGCCACTCGGGAGGCTGAGGCAGGAGAATCGCTTAAACCCGGGAAGCAGAGGTTGCAGTCAGCAGAGACTGCACCACTGCACTACAGCCTGGCGACAGAGCGAGATTCCGTCTCAAAAAAAAAAAAAAAAAAAAGGAGGGAAAAACCTCCTGGTTCCAATTTCAAAGCCAATCCCCCACCCTCCCCCCCTTTTTTTCCCCAAAAATCTGAGTCATATCAAACATCTGGTACCCATGAAATTTACTACTTTAAATTCATAGAATTAAAACTGAGCACCCACAACTGAACAAATATTTTCTGAGTTCAACCAGAGATGCTGAATACTAACTTTACCTCCCCTAGCACTTACACCTGCAAATGTAGTTTTCTTCCTCGACTTGGAAAAAAAAAGCACAGTGAACAAATTTCAGAGTGCAGCTATCACCTCAATAGAGCCTGATGAAAAAGGAAAATAGGTGTTTTTTTTTTTTTTTTTTTTTTTTTTTTTTTTTTTTTGAGACGGAGTCTCGCTCTGTCACCCAGGCTGGAGTGCAGTGGCAGGATCTCAGCTCACTGCAAGCTCCGCCTCCCGGTTCACGCCATTCTCCTGCCTCAGCCTCCGAGTAGCTGGACTACAGGCGCCCGCCACCTCGCCCGGCTAGTTTTTGTATTTTTAGTAGAACGGGTTCACCGTGTTAACCAGGATGGTCTCGATCTCCTGACCTGTGATCCGCCCGTCTCGGCCTCCCAAAGTGCTGGGATTACAGGCTTGAGCCACCGCGCCCGGCGAAAATAGGTGTTCTTTATCCCCAACAATTTTGGGACAATTTTTAAAAATGGTTTTAAATTGTTTAAATATCTACTAGTGTAAATATCAAACTAAATCCTTACACATCAAATTATTTTGTTTGTTTTTGAGACGGAGTCTCGCTCCATTGCCCAAGCGGGAGTGCAGTGGCGCGATCTCGGCTCACTGCAAGCTCCGCCTCCCAGGTTCACACCATTCTCCTGCCTCAGCCTCCCGAGTAGCTGGGACTACAGGCGCCCACCACCTCGCCCGGATAATTTTCCATGCATTTTTAGTAGAGCCAGGGTTTCACCGTGTTAGCCAGGACGGTCTCGATCTCCTGACCTCGTGAGCCGGCCACCTTGGCCTCCCGAAGTGCTGGGATTACAGGCGTGAGCCACCGCGCCCGGCCAAATCTTTTTTTTTTTTTTTTAAGGAGACAGGATCTCGCTGTGTTGTCCAGGCTAGCAAGCTCAGCGGCCCATCACAGGAGTTTGGAACTCCCGGGCTGAAGGAATCCTCCCTCCTCAGTCTCTCGAGTCGCTGGAACTACAAGCGCACGCCACCGTGTCCGGCCAAAGTTTTTTTTTTTTTTAAGAGATGGTGGTCTCACTATGTTGTCCAAGCTGGCCTCGAACTCCTGAGACCAAGCGATCCTCCTGCCTTGGCCTCCCAAAGTGCTGGGAATAACAGGCGTGTTCCACCGCGCCCGGCCCCAAATCTTTGTCTTGGTAATGGAATAAAAAGCGGAGTATACAGTTGGCGGGTAGGACTTAAATCCTCAGATGACGCCAACGTTTCTAACCAAGGATTTCAAACGGCTCCCCATTAACTTCTCATTAACCTAGCGAACAAGAAAGTGACACGCTGAGATTTTGGATCCTTTTTCCTTCCCAAACTCTGCCCCTGGCAGAGAAAGAGGCGCACAAACAAGGGGTGTGGCCCATTGGCAAATCAGTCAGACCGTCCCGAATCAGGGACAAACACTGGAAAGCAGAGAGGAAAAAGAAGTTTCGCGTTTCCGCTCCTGGGACTCTGCTCCAGAATTCGGCGTTACCCGTCCGAAGCGGCGGCGTCAGAACAAGTCACTAAACATCACCCGCACCGCCTCCCGGGAAGGGCTGGGTCCCGTCTCGAGGGAGACACGGCCGGGCAGTGCGAGCACAGCGGGGCCACCCCGTCTCCCCCCAGGGAGACCCAAGGCCCAGAGGGGCCCAGGGAGCCCGACACGAAAACTCCTAAAGTTCCTGAGCAGGGACCTGAACCAAAGGTCTCTGCCCACGGCGCGGGCTGTAGGGCCGCCGCTCCGCTTGAGAAAGGGGTCCCCACACCGGAGCAGGGAGAGGGGTTCGCCTCCCGCCGCCGAACCCATCCCTGCCTGGGTCGCCGAGTCCCGAGTCCCGCCCTCTCCCCGCAGGGCTCCCGGAGAGGACCTCCGCCTTCTCGCTTCGCCCCTCCGCCTCGCTCAGGAGGAGACCTGCCACGGCCCTGTCTGACCTGTCGCCGCTGGGACCGAGCCGGCAGCGCGAAGCCTCCATGCCCGCCGCCGAGGAAGCCCCCACCACGTACACACTCTTCTCTGCGGTCGCCAGAGTGGCTCGGCTGGCACGCCGCCGCGTCCCGCCTCCTGGCAACCGCGTTCCACACCGTCGCCGCCGCCGATTGGTCCGTGTGCTCGTGGCTCCTGTCTCATTGGCTACTGCCGGGGCAACACTGCGGGAGGGTTGCTAAGGGGCGGGAGGCGAGCGGGAGTTAAACGCGCCTGCGCGGGGGTGGGGTGCCGCGAGTCAGGGCTTGGTCCTCTGGAGCGCCCGCGCGTCCGGGACTGAAGGGCAAGAGTTTGTTTTTGCCTGGGACTCGTCCGCCGCGCGGCCAGCGGGCGAGTCCGGTCAGAGGAGTGGCCCATACCCCACCAACCGCCACGCACGCACCGGCTTCCCGCACCCCCGCCATTTTTACCGAGCCCACCCGGAGCGCTTCCCTAGGTCTGCCCTGTGAGGATGTACAGACCTCTGTCACTTCCCATTCTGGCCCCTGCCCTGATACCAGAGGCCTTCGTGGACCCGCTCTGGTACCCTCTCCACTCCGCCAGTCACTCCCAGTGAAACGCATCTTCCATAGGCTGGCCTTGACCTTCAACTGCACACAACTCCTTAAGCTTCCCATACTCTAGCCCAAGCTTGACCTACTCTACAGACTCCCCTAAAGCACACGAGGGAATCCGGAGACTCTTTCTTTTTTTGAGACAGGGTCTCACTGTCTCGCCCAGACTGCAGTGCAATGGCCCAATCTCAGCTCACCGCAACCTTCGCCTCCCAGGCTCAGGCGATTCTCCTGCCTCAGCCTCTGAGTAGCTGGGATGACAGGCACAGACCACTACCGCCTGGCTACTTTTCGTATTTTTAGTAGAGATAGGGTTTCACCATGTTGGCCAGACTGGTCTCTTTACTCCTGACCTCAAATGATCCACCTGCCTCCGCCTCCCAAAGTGCTGGGATTACAGGCATGGGCCCGTCCTGGAGACTGTTTCCATCTACCTTTCTACAGCCTGTGGGCCTTCCTCAAACATCCATAGCCCACAGTGGAAGCCCCTGTCTAAAAGTGTACTCTGTCTCCAATAAATCCCGTCCCCAAATGTCAGTCCCTTTCTCCCTACCGACATGCACATCATCCCTACAGAACATCCTAAGTCCTGACGAGTCTCTGCACAAATGGCTTTATGGCATTCTAAGGTCAAAGTTGTTTCCCACATTGGTTTTGAACCTACAAGTTAGAACTTTAGGAGGCACACGCTGAGTGGACCGTTACACTGCCTGGGTCAGCCTGCACTCACTGTGTGACCCTGTGTATGGTTCATTCTCTGCGTCAAATTCCCATCTGTAAAATATGCAGAGTAATCCCTGCTTGATCTAGTTGGGGCTGGACCTGACACAGTAGGTCCAGCTGAATGAATGCTGGATGAATGGGGTTTAATGAGATGTACTTATCTGAGTAAAAGGCCATCTGAGACATTCGGTTGACTAGGGAAATCCTTCTGCATTAATTACAATAAGTAATATTCATTGAAAACTTTCCTTAATTATTTATACACAGTTGAACAGTTACTCTAAGAAATCATTTTCCCACCCTATTTAATATTGATAGATTTCTTCAGTTAGAAACAAAAACTCAAAACATAGGCAATCCTAAAGAACTCATCTACGTCCCCTTTATCTTCCCTGATCTCATATAGTCCCTAAAACAGGGCTTGCTGCCCTTTCTTCTTCTTGCCTTTTCAGCAGATGAGTCAAGGTTGCAGAGGTGGCAGTCAACCACAGAGTCACAGAGTTTGATTTTTTTCCATCCATCAGCTCATAGAAGCTGCCATTGAGCCTGACAAGAGCTGGTACTCAAAAATGCAGAATGAATTGGTTTGAATGAGGTGATTAAAGGATTAACGAGTAGTGGTTAAGGAGACAAAGACCTTTAGTGGATGGGGTAATATTGCTGTATTACTGACAGAAGCAGGATTCTCTAAAAAAACTTTCTGTAGCCATTTACTTACATACATTTTAAAGAGTTACTACAAGATATTTTAAAAATTTAAACAGTTAATACAAGAAAAATATAAAGTGAATAGTTCATGACACTAAACTCAACTGTTCATGACACAAAGTATCTTAGAAAACAAATCTCGGCTGGGCGCGGTGGCTCACGCCTGTAATCCCAGCACTTTGGAAGGTCCAGGTCAGCAGATGAATTGAGGTCAGGATTTTGAAACCAGCCTGGCCAACATGGAGAAACCTCATCTCTACTAAAAATACAAAAAAATTAGCCAGGCATGGTGGCAGGTGCCTGTAATCCCAGCTACTGGGGAGGCTGAGGCAGGAGCATTGCTTGAACCCAGGAAGTGGAGGTTGCAGTGAGATGCGATCATACCACTGCACTCCAGCCTGGGCAACAGAGCGATATTACATCTCAAAATACAAAACAAAATAAAACAAACAAACAAAAAAAACCCCTGGGAATTGAATTCCTTTATGACTCCAAAAAACATGTCTCTTTTCTATTGAGATTGCTGATGGCAGTCAGCTTTTCACAAGGAATTGGCTTCTGCTCAGCTTCCCTCTCTCCCTGAGGTAAGCAAGCAGGTGCTGTCGTCTCCTCCACGTGACCTTTATTCCATACTTGTCTTCGGGGGTGTCTTCAACCAGAACAGGTCCAGGCTCTGGGCTATCAGGAGTGCCAGTGTGAAGAGAGCAGCTTGGAAGGCTATTTTCCTTCTGATCCCGGGGAATGAGTTCTTCCTTCACAGACGATGACTCTGGGGTCTGGATATCAGGTGGAATGAACACATAAGGTAAGCTCTGAAGTGCCTGTGCTGACATGTCCCCACAGCTTTGGGGACTGAGCACTGGAACTAAGGGTCTTCTGGAAACATCCTTTTCTGATTCACTGGGGCACTCCCGGATTAAGGGGATCCCCAATGTCTCTGAATTGGAAGACTGCGGACTCTCAAAAGTTAGATGTGGAAACTTGGAGGTGGTAGATTTTCGACTTGAATGTCTCGCCCGGTTTTGGTGGTGGTGTTTCCGGTAGGCTGGGAACAAGCTTCCTGCTGTTGTATCAAAATCAGGTGATACCTTTTAAAAAAAAAAAAAAAAAAGTGAGGTGAGCCTAACTAAGTACTAACCTAAGAGAGGAAACTATATCTGATGACCAGACTCTTAAATCGGGGTCTAATGTAGTAATGAACACAAAACTAAAATAGCTGTCTAATGGGATAATAACAGGATGCTTTCGGCAAATTATTCCATCTCTCTGGCCTTCAGCTTCCTCGTGAGTAGGAAAGGGGATGATGTCTCTTTCCGTTCATCACACCACAGGGATATAACGTTTTCCCCTGGGATGGAGTCTCAATCCGACATCTAGACTGGAGTGCAGTGGCATAATCTCAGCTCACTGCAACTTCTGCCTCCCAGGTTCCAGCGATTCTCCTGCTTCAGCTTCCTGAGTAGCCAGGACTACAGGTGCCTGCCACCACGCCCAGCTATGTGTGTGTGTGTGTGTATATATATATATATATATATTTTTTTTTTTTTTGAGACAGAGTTTCGCTCTTGTCACCCAGGCTGGAGTGTAATGGCACTCTGCTCTGCTCACTGCAACTTCTGCCTCCCTGATGCAAGCAATTCTACTGCCTCAGCTTCCCGTGTAGCTGGGATTACAGGCACGCACCACCATGCCCAGCTACTTTTTGTATTTTTTGTAGAGACGGAATTTTACCATTTTGAGCAGGTTGACCTTGAACTCCTGACCTCAAGTTATCCACCTGCCTTGGCCTCCCAAAGTGCTGGGATTACAGGCATGAGCCACGGCACCCAGCCAATTTTTGTATTTTTAGTAGAGTCAGGTTTTTGCCATGTTGGTCAGACTGGTCTCAAACTCCTGACCTCAAGTGATCCACCCGCCTCAGCCTCCCAAAGTGCTGGGATTACAGGCGTGAGCCACAATGACTGGCCTAGATATAACTTATCTTTAAACTTCATGAGGGTAGAGACCAGCGGTCTTGTTCTTGATTCCCAGCACCTAGCAGAATGCCTGGAACAAAGAAGGCCCTCAGTAAATAATGCAAAGCCAACTCCAAGCACAGGGGGGAGGAACTAGCAGAGGACCTGGCATATAATGACTGTTCAATAAATGTTCATTCCTACTCTCATCCACAAGATTCTGATGTTTAGGTTTCTTCCACAGTCCTGTAGCAGGTATTATGGTTCTTCCAAGCAGTCCTGAATAAGTTACATGTATTAAATACTCCCAAGCCAAGCTTATGTTTTTGTCTGGCCCTTTTACTACACTACTTTCCCGTTGTATAGTAGCTATATTCTCTTCCCAGGGCTTCTGCTTCTTTTTTTAATTTTTTTTTTTGAGACAGGGTCTCACGCTGTTGCCCAGGCTGGAGTGCAGTGGCAAATCTTGGCTCACTACAGCCTTGACCTCTAGGCTCAAGAGATCTGCCCACCTCAGCCTCCCAAGTAGTTGGGACTACAGGTACACACCACCATGCCCAGCTAATTTTTCTATTAATATTTTTTAGTAAAGATGGGGTTTCGCCATGTTGCCTAGGCTGGTCTCGAACTCCTGGGCTCAAGCAATCCTCCTGTCTTGGCCTCCCAAAGTGCTAGGATTACAAACATGAGCCACTACACTTGGCCTCTCTTCCCAGGGCTTTTAAGCGGTCAAAATATGACAATATGCTATTCTTATGGGATTTTTATTTTTCAAGGCTCAATCCGTTAAACAATAAACAGAGTATCTAGCTAGATACACCACCTTTCACGTGAGGTTTGGGGAACAATCTCATTTTTAACTTGTTCTGCCATTGATCTGGCATTCTCACCCAGCTAATGGGTAAAAAACTTTTACACTGAACTCTTTCAGAGGAAAATAGGGGAAGAGAAAGACTCCAGTTCCCACTAACCCATTCCTCAGTTTGAACTGAGAAAAGAAGATGTACCAGGGAAGATGGCTGGCCACAGACAGAAAGAATACATTAACTCCTTGCCCCTGCCCCCATGAATCTTATTCTTGAGACCCTGGTTCAAGGGGAAGAAGAGTCAGCATTCTGGAAAACCTAACAGAGTAAAAGTCAAAGTAGGCCAGGCATGGTGGCTCACGCCTGTAATCTCAGCACTTTGGGAGGCCGAGGCAGGCGGATCACGAGATCAGGAGATC